CAGAAATCTCATCAAAAGGGAGCCCAAACAAGGGCTTAAATAGTTGTAGATTGCTTACCTCATAGACAGACGACTCCTTTCCTTCTCATTTAATAGTGAATTTAAAAATCATATCTTGAAGAATTTCTTGTAACTATTTCAACACGTATCTATATGCAGCTGCTCTAGAGAAAGAATTGTGGTCCACTGCCACTTTCAATGAAGAGGTCTTGAGGACGATACATGTTATCTTTGCCAATTTTCATAAGCTTCATGTTTCTGAAGCTACTACACTGTGCATTCCTCATTTGGTAGCAGCACTTAAGTCCGGCAGTGAGTCTGCTCAGGATTCTGTACTGATTACATTGTGCTTGTTAAAACAGTCATGGTCGTCTATGCCAGTCGATGTGTCCAAATCTCAAGCTATGGTTGCAGCCGAAGCGATTCCCATTCTGCAAATGCTCATGAAAACTTGCCCTCCGAATTTTCATGAAAGAATAGAGAGCCTTTTGAGTTGTTTACCGGGTTGTTTGACGGTCACTATTAAGCGAGCAAACAACTTAAAGCAAGCCGTAGGAGGCACAAATGCTTTTTGTCGATTGAATATTGGCAATGGTCCTGCTCGGCAAACTAAGGTTACGGTTTTCATATTTTTCCTCTATATGTGGCATGTTTAGTTATTTACTTGTGGCTTGTTTGTAGGGTGGATTGTACAGTATGAACAATATCAAAGAAGAAAAAGAAGTTCGAGTTTTGTCTATTGTTCTTTCCAATCCACTCTATTATTGCATACCAAATATGCCCTTCATGTCATAATTTTATAATGTCATTCTCTGTTAACATTAGACGACATCTATAAAGTAACAAATGCAATCATGTACAAAAGCCAGTTGTTGATGATCTTTAATGCAGCTATCGGATGTATGCTCGAAATCCTGATTATCATTTTATATATATTGATTGATTATCAGGTCGTGAACCACAGTACATCTCCGGAATGGAAAGAAGGCTTCACATGGGCCTTTGATGTGCCTCCAAAAGGGCAAAAGTTGCATATATTGTGCAAAAGCAAAAGTACTTTTGGAAAGGTAATTAACTAACACCAATCAATCTGTACGTTACTCCACGATCATTTATTAAGTCTGATTCCACTTTTCCGTGGAAAAGGCAAGTTTCAATTGAAAAGGCAGAATAAGATATTCAGTCAATTTGATACTTTCTGAATTGCTTATCAGTTCATACTCTGAAAGAGCATTGACTATGGTTGATGATAAAATTGTAACATAGTTGAGTGAAAATCTTTGTTCTTTCCCAGTACTGTTTTCATAGTTTTAAGGATGTAATTGCTTGTTGATTTCAGAGTACTCTTGGGAGGGTTACAATTCAAATCGACAAAGTTGTAACTGAAGGAATATACAGCGGTCTTTTCAGCCTTAGCCAAGACGGCAGTAAAGACGGTTCTTCCCGGACACTTGAAATTGAGATAACGTGGTCCAACCGGTCAGATGAAAGTGTGTGAAAGGAAGGCAAGATCAAGTTATTATGGCTAAAGGCACTAAATTGGCACCGGTCGAGCACACCAGCTAGGCGAGGAACAGACAAATGATACATTACAATATGGTATGACACGGGGAGCGAGTTGCTCTCTCTATGTGAATATCTCCAAGAAATGTCCAGTTTTGTAGTTGCCAATAAGCTGTCTTGAGTTGTAAAATGTATAACGATGCCAAGAATCCAACAGGGTTAGTAAAGTTTGGAAGAAAGGTTTCAAATAGAAACTTATTGTACAGGTAAGTCAAAAGTGTGTAGTAGCTAGCAAAATATTTGGAAAAAGTGCCTCTCTTTTAATGGTAAAACGAGGTTGCACTTTGTTCTTGAAGTTATATACGTGGCAGCATTCCTGTTAGTAAAATATAAATGCAAAATGGGCTGCAAATGCAAGTATTCAAATTATGGAGTTTCATTTCTAGGGCTACCGTTTCTTCTACCCGAGTATATTACATGGTAATGAGTGGCGGCCGAATTGCATGATCCATTTTGGCTGACAGAATCATCTACTTTCAGCTCAGATGTGATAGGATTAACATATTCAGCATTGCATCCATTCACCCAATCTCCAGTTCCCGATGAATGGAATGATTGGTTGACTGAATAACACCCCGATGTGCAACTGCAACACAGTCGCATGGCTAGTACAACTACATACAGAATGATTCCCGCAATAAGCATTATGCCTTGTTAAGTGAAAAAAATAGGAGAAATATGTAGTAAAGGGGTTGCAAACATGGTAACTGGATGCTTTCATTTACAACACAAAAGTAACACAAAAAGTGACAATAGAGCAACACCGATCTAATATGACTCCTAAAAAGTTCAATAACCTCTACTCATAAAGGTGAACTCTTTGACTTTTGAATACAGAATTCAGCAATGAAAACCTCATAAACTTTACATTCATAACCCTTCCCAACTGCCAAATTCTTAACTAAATCAATGAACAGATTCTGATGATTCCAGCTCCAATTTGATGTGATTACTTCGCTGCAGCAACCAGCGAAGCTCTTGCTCGCGTAAAAGCAGCAGTTAATGATCCGAGCTGCAACTTATCGTTGCAAGCAAAAGTCAACCTGTATCTGCATAACAAAGGCACCGAGCAATTTAATACCAAGGGAAAATAATAACGCCCATAAAGGAAATATCATGAAATTGAAGTGCGCATGTGATGGTTCATTAGTCTGCATTATACTCAATGGATTAGGATGCTCTCAAATTCTCGGAAATGAAATAGTTGCTTCGTCCCCGATGTATTAGGACAAGGGTTGAAAAAATGCTACTTTACACTTGGCAAAAGGATGGTGCGGTAGTTTATCCTTGACCGACATTAATTTAGTGGAATCTGTAAATCATGCCAGAAGCTAAAATTCAATGGCATATGCTTATTATAATGTAGATCTCAATCCCGTCCTAAGAATTTATTTACTCAGTCCAAAAAGGAAGAGCTTTCAGTTTAGTCCTCGACTTATCAAATGCTTGGTACGTATATGATTGAGATCAGAGGCATATGACAGACCACAAAGACCATCTTATGGGTATGAAAGGTGACTCAAAGCTGACATCAAGTTTTCTCTCAAAAATAGACTACTACATAAACTTATTACCAAGATCAATGATGAAACTACTTTAATTTAAAATTAACAGGTTATCATCGTGTAACCTAGGGAAAATGAGAACTTAAGCGTAGAAAGTGGTTCCATACTCGATATCAGCCAACTCATTAATCAACTGAACCCGAACTTCTGGAGGCATCTTGATCTTGAAAACAAACCTGACATCAATTATAAAGAGATGAGTAAAAGGAAACTGCTGGGATGTGAATGACAAACAATATGAGCTCTTACATGGTTACTTCTCTTACAATGTCCACCAATGCTAATCCTTTCCTAGTCTTGATTTCTGAAATTCCTGAACATTTTTAAGTGCACATTACAATTTGAAGACCAGAAAAAGGGTACAATTAGAAAGATTAAAAAAAAAGGTACAATTAGAAAGAAGGTCGGCATTCAGGATACGTTTACAGGTAGTGGCAAAGGGCTCATTAAGAAGCCAATAAGAAATCTGTTCAATGTCTTTAGGCAAAGGATTTCCAGTGCACAAGTACACAGCTTCTTCCGAGATCTGCTGAGAAGCCATATGTGTTGACTGCATACAACCAGCAATGAATAATAATATTTAAATACTGCAGCTCATAGAAGGCCTAGATTAACACAAGCCAACTGAAACCAAGAGGAAATTAAATCACTGAAAAATGACAAGTAGCCATATGAATCTTTGATTTCCACAACCCCCAGCCCCTTCCCCATGACTAAAAGACAGTTCTCACTGATCACTACAAAGTTATGAAGAGTCAAAACAGCCTTAGCAAGAAGCTTCCAAATGAGTTATATGGGCATGGACGACCAAAAAAAGGAAAGTCTCCCATTTCCCTATATTCCTTCTTATCTGTGTTTATTTTTATTTATTTATTTCAAGAACACAACGTAAACTGAATAACCATACTAATATAACAATGCAACCAAGATACTAACTTGCAAAATATTCAATGCCTTCCTCATGTCACCATTACTAAGCCGTACAACAGCCCTCAAACCATTTTCAGGTACATCAAGCCTGTACAGATGAAATTATGTTAGAGAAATAAGTTGAAATCATCCAAACATCTATGGTCCAACATGAGCAAAGAACTTACCCTTCAGCGCTAATAACATGTTTAAGCCGCTCATTGACGTGGACCCCATCAAGAGGAGCAAATCGAAAACGAGTACATCTTGATTGCAATGCTGGTATAACCTTGTTAACATTGTTACAGATCAAAGCAAATCTAGTATTTTTTGTGTATTTCTCAATCACTGCAAAGCAAATATATTTAACTCGATTGCGTAAGCTAAACCCTTTAAATGAAATTGACTTAAAGTAAAAAAAGCAATGGATTCTTGCCTCGACGAAGAGCAAATTGTGCGTCTTTAGTCATGGCATCTGCCTCATCCAATAGGATCAATTTTACAGCAGACTTTGCACTGCAGAACAGACAACTAGTTAGGTAAATGTTGCAACCAATATTTCAGTGTTGAATCCACTTACCATTACTCATATCAGCTGTAACGAATTCAAGCAACAAATCAAAGTTTTGGGGAAACACAGCAATAGTATTAATATCGTTGGGCAAAAATAAAATGTTCAAAAAACACATCGATATACAAAAACAAAACTATTACTTAATTTACTTCTTAATGTGATAATATCTAGTTTGTAAACTTTGCATTCAGATTAAGCAGATCAGACAGAAGTTTTATATGTGTAATAATAATTAAAACTGTATTTACTTAATCTATTGCCGACCGGAAATTTATTGGGAACAAAGTGTTGTTATTGCCTTTAACTATTGTACATGCCAAAGCTTGTATTTATTATTTGAATCAAACAAACCTATTATCAAATTAACAGTTTGAAAGCATGAAACTCCAGCATGTGGGAAAAAATAGCTAAAACCCTTAAAGTCAAATTATCAATCATCAATCCAGAAGTCAATGTAACTAATATTCACCAGCATCTCAAAGCAACTAAAAACTCCCATGCCCAAATACAAAACCTCCAAGTTCATAATTATATTCCAAATCAAATACCTAATGCTACTAATAAAATTATAGAGTTTCAAAATACTTTTAGAGGAGCCTTTTCTCGCCTATAGAATTTTCAGTGTAACTTTTAGGCGAGGAGTGAAAACAAAAGGTGCCTGCACCAGTCAAGTGTATAATTGTGCTTTACATATATTTGTGTCATATGTAATCTATAAAAACACAAACTACAATATATACACATACATAACGACATGTATAAAACAAAATGCCTGTGTTTCACAACATACCCAAAAGATATGCTCTGAGTGCTTGCAAAGTCCTGAATTTGCTGCCTCACCACTTCGATTCCACGATCGTCCGATGCATTCAGCTCCAGAACCATGTTGTGCATCTGAGCCCCATACAGCTTCCTAGCTAGAGCCAGCACCGTGGAAGTCTTTCCTGTTCCTGGTGGTCCATAGAGCAACAAATGGGGCAATCTGTTCCCGCTTGCCAGTCTATCAACTGTTTAGCAAAAAACCTCAATAAAAATCCAATACACTTGTAGAAACCTAAAAGATCTATTTGCTACTGAGAAAAGAAAGCAATAAGGAAATGGAATACTTAAAATTTGAAGGTGATCAATCATTCCATTGTTTGGTACAAGGGAAAAGGTTATGGAAAGTGACTAAAAAGTGATTCTAAAGTTATCCCGATTGATGCATGAGAGAACTTGGATCCCATGTGAATTAAAATATCATCCAAAAATCAAATTATTTTTGTTTTCTTCTCAATATCCCTGACATGACAAGGCAAACTTTATCCTTCCTTCCTCGTGCCAGACACTCCTAAATTTATATACGCATGACACTTACACATGTACAGAACTTCGATGCTAGCCTAAAGTAACCATGAAGCATTTGATTCAGAAGCTCAAAACATTTGAAGCATATTTTAAACAGTTCAGAATTCGATCTTATTATTTAAAGTTGAAATTTTAATAACTAACCATCATCAGCCGATGAATCATCCAATGAAATGCAATGGGAGACAGTGGGATAAGATACTGGAGCATAAAATACAAGGAAAACGAAATACTTCTAAACGAATCACAATGCTACAGGTTGGTTGGTACCATGATATGCCTACGAAGACTTCGACGCAATGTAAGAAATAAATTAAACAAATTAACAAGAAATGAACAGAAAGAGAGGGGTATGGCGGTAATTTACTAGTCTCGACGATATCACGATGCGCAGCGACGTCGTCCAGGGATTGCGGGCGATACTTTTCGACCCAGGGAGTGGCTTTCATGTCGGGAGGAGCGGTCAAAACGACGACGCTTTTGCCTTTGCTTTGGGTTTTGAGAGAGTCTAGATTGTTGTTCTCGTCATCGATTTCCATTGGAGAAATTGCTTCCGCCATTTTTACGAGGTGCTGGTACTTTTAAACGACTGCGTTGCGCCTTCTTCCTCCCGGTCGTTGGCGCCCCTTTGCCCTTGCTCTGGTTTTGTAGTAGTGGGGATCCCCTTGTTCCTTTACCTCAGGTTCTCTGCAGTTTTGGTTCGAAGCTAAAATCGTCAAATTGGATTTGAGATTCGCTTTTTCAAACACGATTCTAGCTAAAATTGGGAAGATTTGAGAGAATGAAACTGGAGAGAATCAGCAGGTGGTGTTTGGCGCCAAATGTGCTCATGGCCCTTTTTTCTCAAAACTTTATTCTTTTCAAGACTCATTTTCTACTGCATACTCTCCTATAAAATAAATTTAGATGCAAATCTAATTTTTTTTTTAATCACACATTTTCTAACAAAATACTATTTAAAAATACATTTTGACCAAAAAGTAGGATCAAACGAGGGCTTATTTTTGACTTTTGTTTTTTAGTGAATTTATTTAAGCATTGGGAATAATTTATTAACGATTTTAAATTCAAATTTTAATTTAAGTCAAAATTAAAAATTAATTTTAATCATATATTTATGTGATTTACAACTTTTTAACCATACGCACCCGAAAAAACACCTCCCTCCCGACTAGCCTTGCAAGAGCGGGTGTGCGGGAGAATAGAACTGAGCTTCAATGTCCATGAATTTTATCATCAACTTGATCAATTAATTTCAAGATATAAGGCTTGGCTAAGGGAACCTACCGGAGCCGTAGCGAAAGCGAGTCTTCATAAGGCAATTGTCTGATCATAGAAAATAATCTCTTGAAGTGAAACAGTCTATATTCTGTATAGGACTTACGCGAATTTTTATCAAAATCTACTAAAAATTTGATTTTAATTCTTATTAAACAAAGATATTGTATCAAACGCAATGTTAATATTTTACCATAACAAACGTGCCAA